AACCTGTTAAAGTACACCAAAATGCAGGAAATCACATCTACTTTATTCAAAATGTTCTGGTGGAGGACCCCCAGACCACACACACACACACACACACACACACCCATCCCTGCTGACCCGCCCGCTGTTTGCGTTCCAGTATTGATCAGTTTACAAATTAAGTCCTGTTACTTGGTATGCCTACAGCTGTTATGATTCTGTTCAGTTTTATGTAAAGAGTTTTCTGTGATAATTAGAATAAGTAACAATACATTTATTATGTTCATTATGTGAATAAGTAAAGTTTTAAAGTGATTTTTGATTCTGTTAATTTTCTCAAAACTGTAAATTTGGAAGTTGAAATTAAAAATGTTTTTAATATTGTCTTGAATGAAAAATACCCCATGTTTTAAAGTATAAAAATTGTATTAACACTATTAAATAACACGTCTTAAGTATTTATGTTACATAAATATTTCCATTTCATTAAAGAGACAAATTGAAGAAAATTATTTAATAAACATGAGAGTTATGAGGGGGTCCCTGAACACAAAAACTTTGAGAACCCCTGCTGTACAGTACTGCAAAATACTCCCCAGCTCTGCAGCCCAGCAGTTCAGTTCTAGTTCTGCAAACCTACCCTGCAGCGACGAAGACCACCGCCCCATCCAGGTTGATGTGCACGTAGATAATTGAGCTTCAGGATTATTTGCATCTGTCCTACCAGTTCTGTGAGCTTAATAGATAGATCGTTACTTCTGACTTTGCGTTGCAAAACTTTCCCTCCAATTCAGCCAAAAGTTGCGACTGGAAGCACTGTTGGCTTCTGGGTAGTGTAGTTCTTGACCTGTGTTACAGTGTAGGCTTATTGAACGAAAACTACAAAATGCCTGTCCAACGTTTATTTTTTTGTTAACTTTTTTCTGTACCATCCCAAATCACATGAGTTATATTAAAGTTGACAATCATGTGTCAAGTTCAATCTCATGTTGAAAAACCGCGAAAGCGAGTTCATGAAAGTCAAACTATAAAGTAGCAAAACACTACTGTATTTGTCCTGATGCATACTCAATAATCCATGTAGAAAAATCTAAAAAAGTTAAGTCTGGTCCTCTGAACATTCAAAAAAAACAAAGAAACAAACAAAACCACCGTATTTGCTTTTTTAAATATTCTTAAGATTTAGTTTAGTTTTAGTCTCTTCACACACCTTCCTGTCCATGGACCCTATTCTGTGCCTTGTACTGTGACACATTTATGTCCCATTTTAGGTTTCTCAACACAGTCTGTCTCCTGACCTCTACACCACACACACAGATGATGCTGGGGTTCGATTTCAATTTAATTATAAACATTTATCCAAACACACCATTTAGAGACTTATAAAAATGGAACAAGCTGCAGAGATTCTGTGAAGATTCATTTCAGGAAACACACGTCATGTTTTTTCATTTACAAGTCGTAACGCCAGTCTGTGCATGTGCAGGAATCATTAAATTCCATTATGATTACCACCTCATCACGTCATAAACAAAACAACCTGTGTACTTCTTTTTGTTGTGCAGACATTAGTATCATCATGTTGTCCACATGTCAGATTGTCTGGACGTGAACACATCTCACTGGATGAGAGCTGACAGAGTTTTGCTGACTTGTCTTTAAAAGAAAACCTGCAGACAAACAGAACACGTGCACACAAAGAAGCACCTCTTAGCTCAAAGATCTTCACACAATTATAGTTTGGGTAAATGATTGTAAATACATTTTTACTTGTTTCCTCTGTCTGGTGTAAATGTTTATAAAGACAGATTGATTTTTTTAAACATATATTTAAAGGAGCATAAGAGTACGATGGAGCTTTAGGGCCGCACTAAGAAAAAAAATTTACATTGCAATGTTAAAAAAAAAAATTTTTAAGCCATAAAATTACGAGAATAAAGTCAAATAAAGTCTTAATATTAAGAGAATAAAGTCGAACAAGACGTTTTTTGTGTTTGTTTGTTTTTACAGCTTTCGTAAGAAAAAAATATTACATTGCCACGCTAAGAAAAAAAAATTAAAAGCCATAAAATTACGAGAATAAACTCCTAGTATTACGAGAATAAAGTCGTACGAGACATTTTTTTCAGTTTTCACAGCCCTTGTAAGAAAAAAAATTACATTGCCACACTAAGAAAAAAAAATTAAAAGCCATAAAATTAAGATAATAAAGTCCTAGTATTAAGTCGTACAAGACTTTTTGCTGCTCTCGTGGTTTTTTTTTTTCCCACGAGTCGGATCCACGACGCGACCTGTCAATCAGTCTGGTGGGCGTGTCAGGAAATCTGAAGCTAAATGAGTAGTAATATTATCCGAACTCCGACACATAAAGCAGGTTTACTGCATTTTAACTATGGCAAAACGAAGAATGTTGAGTATCTTAAGTTATGCTTTGGTATTGGGTTTACAAATAAAGAGATAATTAATCTGTTAATCAGCATCAGATTATTATCAGTATCAGGATTTTTAACCTGCTTACAGTAAGGTGGTACGCTTTTGATGGGCTGCAGCAGGTCTCTGTAGGTACGGAGCATTTAGCTTCGGATTGGTCATTTGCTGACACGCCTACTGGATTGATTGACAGGTCGTGTTGTGGATCCGACTCATGGAAAAAAATGAATAAACAAAAGCTGCAAAAAAAAAAAAAGTCATACGACTTTATTCTCGTAATGTTATGGCTTTTATTTATTTATTTTTTCTTAGCATGGCAATGTTTTTTTTTTTTTCTTAGCATGGCTCTAAAGCTCCGTCGTATAAGAGAGACATTGAGAAATTGATCGGCTTTTTTTTTCATGTTTTATAAATTTAATTCTATTTTTTATCATGTGGGTCACACTTTAAATTTTGCTAGTTTTAGGCAGCCATGCCTTTAGTTTTACTCTCAACGGTAGCTGAAATTGGACAAACAGGTGTGACAGACGTGTGCACATCAGCAGTGTGAAGTGTTCTTCATATGTGGCTGAGAGAGAGAAAGGGCCTTGATCGTTTCGAGGTTTTTCTGAGGTGATTCTGTTCTGCAGGGTTTGTGAAGCGCTTTGGGGCCCAGAGCAGATGAAAGGTGCTATTTAAATGTAAGTGCCACTCATTCCTTCATTTCCCTTCATGTCCTACCAATCTTTCCTCCAGCTTTTCACCTCCTGCTCCCTCCCAGACACCACACACACACACACATACACATATCCGATCACCTCAGTTCTTCCATCTTTAAACTGCCACACATAACTACCATTTGTACACACAACCTTCCATTGTACAGTTTTCCTTTACCTGTCCTTCTCCTCGTCATTTTGTGTTACTGGATGTCAAGGTGTGTTACATGGTTGGGAACGTTACGCTTTCCTTTCAACTGTCTTCTGCTTCTGTGTGTCATGTCCACTCTCCATCCTTCCCTTCTCTTACGTTAACCAGGTGCCCTTTTTGCATCTATTCCACCAATCGTCCAGCGGCCATGGAGTGCCACCTGAAGACGCACTGTAAGATGGAGTACCGCTGCCGCATCTGCCAGGGACTGTGGCCGGACCAGGCCTCGCTGGAGGCGCACATGCGGGGACACCGCCTCGGCAACCACTACAAGTGCGAGCAGTGTGGCTACCTGTCCAAAACGGCCAACAAGCTCATCGAGCATGTGCGTGTACACACGGGCGAGCGGCCCTTCCACTGCGACCGCTGCTCCTATAGCTGCAAGCGCAAGGACAACCTCAACTTGCACAAGAAGCTGAAGCACGCGCCACGCCAGACTTTTGGCTGCCAAGAGTGCCCTTTCACCACCACACACCCGTTTGTCTTTAGCCGCCACCTCAAGAAACACCAGAGCGGAGGGATGGGGGGGCTAGACGTAGACATGGAAGGAAGAAAGGAGAAGGAAGAGGAGGAGGTGAGAAGGGAGGAGCTGGCACTAGAAGGAACATCACCGCAACGTTCATTGCTGCTGAGTAAGGAGCGCTATCTTTTCAGCAGAGGAGGTAGCAGTGGGAGCAACAGCCCCCTCATGAGTCTAACAGCGTCTCAGGCGCTCCAGTCCGTTGCTCTGTCCCTCACACTGGGCAAGTCCCACCAGCCAGACCCCACCAGCCCGCGGTACGGCACTGGCAGCACCAATGGCAGCGACGCCATCAAAGGACGAAGCGTCTTTGGCAGCGCCAGTCCCTCCCTCTTCCCTCCCTCCTCCCGCCACATGTTGGAGCAGTATAGGAACTGTGACCAGGCCCACCTGATCCCCCTCACCACCCTGTTTACCCACAACAGCCGCTTCACATTCCACTCGCACCTCCACTCCAAATGGCGGCCGGCCACATCTCCTCTCATCTTCACCCCCAACCCAGAATTCCCCTCATCTGCCTCCCACAAACACTCCTTCTTGGCGTACCTGGGACTCATAGAGAGGGCCAAAACTGTCTGACCTCACCCACCCCTCTCCCCCAGACAGTGGTGCGAATGACTCTTGACCACTGCAGTGGGAGCAACGTCTTTTCCAATCAGACCAGCAGAATAAGCTGGACCAGACAAACGTATAAAAAAATAATGAAAAATATGTTTATAAGAGAAAAATGCTGTACATGCTAAAATGCATTTATATCAAAAAGCTGCTTTTCTTATCAGTTCTATCAATTTAAATAATACTACTACAAGTAATACACTCTATCAGTCTTTTTTGTTTGTTTCCTATTTGTAAGCATCTGAATGACCTGGACCCACTCGCTTTATCTTATGAAACTAACAGATCTGTTTTATAGATATTTTTCTTTAATTGTTTAACAAGATAAAATGTTGAAAAAGAAAAAACAAACGTTGCAAATGCTATAATTTTAGTGCATTTTCTGTCCCTTGCTATTATGCATTGAAATAGCATGCCAGTTTCTGTGTTACAGCTAGCTTTGACGAAAGCTGAATTTGAGATATCCTGAAAGCGTTAGCTGTGCAATGTGGACGCAACCAATGAAGCTGAATGCTTTTCATTGAAAATATCACGTTTCCAAAGTGACGCCTCTGACCATGCACTAAATTATTTATCAAACTTGTACATAGTTTTGTAGCTGTCACCCATCCCTTCTCTCATCTTTTTAAGTTGTTTTATTTTTTTTTGTATGATGCTGAAAGCGTGTTTGCGTTGCTGTCAACTGATCTCAATTCTGTCTCAGAGTCTAAGATAATTCTGTTAAGTATTTTTGGCTCAGACAATAAGCTGTGATAATGTAAATATAGAAAATATCCAATCTGAATTATCATATGCGAAAAAACATTTATTGTCAAATATAAATATAAATGCAAAGCCTTTTGCGAATAAATTTGCACTCACAAGTGAATAAGCAACGATATTTTGCAAACTGGGACTCCCCAACCTTTTCTTTTCCCCCCTCACAGCAAACTGGTTTATACTGATATAAAAAGCATTTCAGAATTAGCACATAGATTAAAAAGCACATCAGTTCATACACACAATGACAAAATTTTATCTCACTTGTTGTAACTTTACATCATTGTCTTGTTTCCCTTGCATGATAGGAAACACACAAAAGTAAAAAATGTGTTTTCTAGTCTTTTCCAAGTCTGGGTAAATGTGGATAGAAGAAAATTGTGGATTTCTGACAGAAAATGCCTCACACAAGCAGTGATTCTTTACATCAATTTTATTTGAATTATAAATATTGTCCTCTGCATTCGATAGTCACACTATCTAGCAAAGGCGTCAACCAAAACAGCCCAGCAGCATCCAGAGTCTTGAGGAATTCAGGGCGGGTCTCGTCTTCCCTCGGAGCCCTACCACCATAGAGCTTTTTAAGTAACTTGGCGACCTCATCCTCGGTTCTTGATAGCCCACTTTCCAAGTTGTCCAACTCGGCTTCTTCCATGAAAGATGTGCTGGTGAGATTGAGGTCAGCAAAGTATTCCTTCCACCACCCAATGACACCAGTAGTTGAGTTCAGCAGCACCCCACCTCCGCTATATTGAGGTGTGCTAGTAAACTGCTTAGCACCACTTTGCCAAAATCTTCTTCAAGAATTTTCTCTAAAATCTTCTCCTGGTTTGCCTGAGTCTTTTCTAAGCCAGTCGAGAGTCTCTACCCAAACTCGCCAAACTCCTTTCACATCAAAGCTTTTGCCTCAGCAACAGCCAGGGCTGTAGCCCGCTTGGCCTGCTGATTAGGGATGTGCGATTTGGCATAAAATTCATATCACGATATGTATTGTGAAGGGTGGCGATAACGATATATATCACAATATGTTTTTGGTATATAACTTGCAATAGGAACGAATAAAAAGCATAGGGTGTCATTTTGTCATCATATATTTTCAAAACTGCTATACCACAAAATAATCTCAATTAAGAAAATTCCACTACTAGGTCCAGAGAGTTAAAAAAAACAGACAAAAAAAAACAAGTATTAGGCTTCTAAAAAAGTTAAATCTGGTCCTCTGGACATTCAAAAAACAAAACAAAGCAAAACAACAAAAAAATGTAGAAACGTTTCATCTCTCATCCGAGAGACTTCCTCAGTCTGAGGTGCTGTATTCAGCTCAGTCTCTTAAATAGCACCTTCTCAGAGTGGATCAACCAGTTTTGCTGCTGACAACCAAAACCAGCTGATCACATGCTCAAGAAGGACCATCAGCATAACAATGGATCATTAGCACATAGCAAGTATTAGGCTTCTTTCTTGTAGTGCAAAACAGTGCTAAATATATAAAATGTAGTTTTAGCCATATGTTTTAAACAAAAGAACATGTTGTTAACTCAACAGTTTCCAGTATTCTCACTTAAGAAATGAACAGCAAGTGCACACTGCAACACTTCACCCTCCAACCCTCTAGTGGGCGTCTCCTTCCGTTTTAAGGAGGGCTGACCAGTTTCCTCTGTAGCTTTGACCAGAGGGTCTCACAGTAAAATCACACAACACAGCGTTCTTTTCACAGATCAGAGAGCAGGTTTCTCTAAAGCTGACCAACGCTTACTTTAACTTTTGACGGGGAAAAAAAATAATAAAAATTTTGACGGAATACAGCGTTTTGCGCATGCTTCTGAATACGGCAACACTATGGCAAGCTGGCCGTAGTTAGCTTGTAGCTTCGGTACTTAGCTCTCGAAGAAAATACTTTAACACCGCTTACGCACAGTTTTCAACTAAAAAAAGTACCGCTTAAACTGACGACTCTGATTTTACATCAGACACAGCATTACTGTGGTTAGCCGGTAGAAGACAGAGCTCTATCGTAGGCTAAATGTCTATAGTTTCAACCATTTTCCGTATATATCGCACATTCCTACTGTTGATACTCCTCAGCTGCCTCTGGAGTCCAAACAGCTAACGAGGTCCATTAGGTCTGCTCCTTTGGCTTCACAGCCTCCCTCACCTGGGATGTCCACCACCTGGTTCGAGGATGGCAAGAGGCACTGACTAACCTTGCAGCCACCACTCAAGGCAGACACCTGACAATGGAGGTGCAGAACATGGCCGACTCGAACTCAATGTCCCCTGCCTTTGTTAAGATATAGTGGACGATTTTTGGGACCGATTTGTCAGCTAGGTGTTCCTAGTGAACCCTCACTACTCATTTGAGTCTACTGGGTCTTTCTGGCATCTTCCCCCACCATGTAATACTACTCACCACCAGGGGGTGAGTTGTGATAAGGTCAGAATACTCATATGAACAGAAGACCACAAGGAGCTTGAGGTCCCTCACCCAGATGCGAGTCACCAGGGCCCACCCTGGAGGCATGCCTGTAGGAAGAGTTCATTGGTAAGTGCCTAGTGACTGGGCCTATACCCATGGAGCTCACTTGGGCTCAGTCAGGGCCTCTGACTATTGTATGTACACCTATGCACCAAACAGCAGTTTGAAGTACTCAGTTTTCTTGGAGTTCTTGGCAGAGATGCTGGAAGGTTCTCCAGCTGGGGACTCATTCATTCTGCTGGGTGACTTCAATGTGGGTAGTGACAGTGCGACCTAGAGAGGCATGATTCAAATGAACTGCTCAGGCCCACTGACGCTGAACTGGCAGATTATGGTAGGGGCATCACTCTCTTTGGCCTCCCTGGGAAGGTCTATTCAGTGGTGTTAGAGAAAAAAGAGTTTTGTTGATGTTTGAGCTTCTGATTAAGGAGGAAGAATGCTGATTCTGTCCTGGCTATGGAACACTGGTCCAACTCTTTACCCTCACTAGGGTCCTCAAAAGGGTATTGTGCAACCAGTCAACATGTATTTTGCAGACTGTGAGAAGGCATTCAGCTGTATTCTCCAAGGTACATTTTGAGGAATGCTGTCTGCTTTCCTACCTTCACCTTTGGTCATAAACTTTGGGTAGCGACCGAAAGAACGAAATCACAGATGCAAGCTTAGGTTTTTGAAGGGTAGCTGGACTCCCCGTTAGAGACAGGGTGAGAAGTTGTTATCCAGGAGAGATTTTGAGTAAAGGCTTCAGCTGAGAAAAGGTTCAAACATCTGGTAAGGATACCCCCTGGCCACCTTCCTGGGGAGATTTTACAGGCATGTCCAACTGTGAGGAGACCCAAAGAAAGACCCAGGACAGGCTGGAGAGACCAAGTCAGAGACTACTTCTGTTGTGACTTAGTGCTATATAAATAAACTGAATTGAATTGGCTTGGGAATGCCTCAGAATCTTTCCAGAAGAAATGGAAGAGGTAGCTGTGGAAAGAGATGTCTAGGCCTCCCTGCTTAAGCTACTGCCGCCGCGACCTGACTCTGGAACAAACGGGGGGAAAATGGATGGATGAATAGATGATGCCACATTTTGTTCTAGTAAACACCAGATTTTGCGTTCAATGTTTTATATATTAATATTTTAGCTTTATATTTGTTTTTCTTCACAGAAAATAGAAAAAAATAAGTAAACCAAATTATATACAGAAATCTGTATATGAAGTGGTGATAGGTTAATTTTCTTTTTGAGCAGAGATGTTACAGCATTTCCTTGCTGCTCACTGTTTTGCGACCTGACTAAAGTTCTACGGTTTAGTCGTCATTGAGCTGTATGAACTGCTCTACAAATAACTTTTATCATCTAGTGGATATTTGACAAAATAACATAAATAGTCAGAATTCTGGGTACAAGTTATAATTAATGGGAATGCTTAAACAGAAACATCAAAAATTGTTCAAAAATGAGCCGCAAAATCTGGAAAAGTGTAGAATTTAAAAATGGAAAAAAGCGTAGGAACTTTATGGATTAAATCATTTCAGAGTGCCAATTTAATTAATATAAATAAAGTCCTGAACAATACAAGCAACAGTATCCAACAAGCCTGGTACCTGCGCCTGTAAAAGGCTGGTCAAGTCTTGCCTAATGTTACAAATCTGCCAATTCTCTTTCCCTCAGTTCCTGTTAGAGAGGCTGCAGCTGCGCAGACTGGGATGCATTCAGTGTCATTACGGTACAATATGTTTTTTTGTGTTTTCCATCAAAATATTTTACATCTCAGTGGTTGGGGTTCCCTA